GAAACCGGAGTACCTGGAGAAAACCCACACAGGCACAGGGAGAACATGCAAACTCTACAGAGGGAGGCCTGAGCCGAATTCGAACCATGCACCTTCTGCGCTGGGCTAACCATTCGACCACTGCAAGTGTATTTTTCTTTTTTTTAAAAATCATTCATGTAAGTTAAGGAGAGAACAACCACAACTCATTCTTGGCATGAAGAGCCATTCAACATGGTTCTTGTTTTAGATGGCTTTTAGACAGTCATTAAGATCATGTTGGCAAATAGATTTCATGATTGTTGGGGTGGACTGAAGATTTGGGTCAGGCATGGATCAATTATTTAGATGGCCAATTCCAGACATCTGGATAGGATAAAGTTCCACTTAGGCCAACCTTTTTCTCCTTGACAGGTTATTTGAACCTATAGTAATTCTCTGGACATGTAAGTAACAAGAACTTGAACTCCTGACCATTTGTTTGCTCAATTTCTCACTTACCAACTAGCCAGGTCATCATTTCTCTGTGTTTTACTTTTATTTCAAATACTGAATGGCAATGTATGCACCTTAAATGATCATGTAAATTTGACAAAACCCGTCCTTGTATTTGATGAATATGAAGCACGACATGTCTGTTTGGTCTTAGCGACAGCCAGTGAAATGAAAATGACAGGAGCAGCAGAGGCAGGAAGCCAGGCTTTTTTTTTTTTTTTTTTAACTTCTCATGAATTTTTCAGTGAATTCGTGAATGAAAAGTGCCCGGCACCAGTTTCACTTGCCAGCCCTAACAATGAGTCCCCGATTAAAAATAGAATACACAATGGGCTAAGGAGAAGGATAAACTTAGAAGGAACATCTTGATGTGCAACTAGAATATGTTATTTATTTCTATACTACTTTGCCTTTGCTAAAAAGTTTGTTTTTTTTTAACTGACGATGCCAAGTAATGATTTTCTCAACAATGTTGTTGTTGTTTACTTTCTCAAAAAAGCTAAATGTAAAACATATTCAAGTTGCCCATCACCATGCTTCACTTTACCCATGCTTATGTTTGCACCAAATGTACCTTTTGGAATTATGGCCAAAAAGTTCAACCCTGCTTTCATTAGACTACAACAAAATGTCAAGAAAATCCAACTAAAACATCTGAACTTTATTTGGCATAACTCAGAGGCATTTTAAATGGTGTCTTAGGTATTGTGACTCTCATTTAACACGAATTTGAGTGTGAATGGTTAATTCTGAAGACAGCCACACCCCAGTTACAGCATTCACACCACCATATTATTTCAGCTCTTCATTTTTATGGCCACTCTCAAAGCTTTTTTCAGTTGAGTTGTATAGGTTACACATCACATTAATGGTAGAAAAAGTTTTGAAATGATTTATCTTGGTTTCATGTTTTTTAACAGTGCTGTGTATACTATAAGTATTCACTGTACAGTTAATAATCAGCACCTCTTCTGGGTATAATGCATTTTATTGAATATTTTTTGTTTTGTCATGTAGTGCCTGCTGTTATATGGCATATTTGTATCCTTTTGGTGGTTTCTATAATTGAGAGGTGATGGTGGTATTCATTCTGAGATGGATTAAGTCCTTACTAGAGGCCTAGGTGGCAAATGCTTGGCCCACTTTGTAGCTTGTCTGCTGTCATTAAATTGTGATTGTGTACCCAATAAAGTGTCTTTTATTTCCGCACAGTAAGTCATGGGCAATGTTACGTCCAGTGATAGTATGTGCAGGCCTACAGCAGTGATGTCAGTGGTAATGCATGCTGCCAAGTGTTCCAACTCCTCTTGGGTTAACAGAAGAAAGCGTTGTGAACAAGGATTGTTCACATGGAGGGCGGCTACTTAGCACTGAATGAACCTTATGTTAGATTGTTTATGAATTCATTTGAGGATTATGTAGGTATGGAGGCTGCACCAACTCCCGGCCTTACCTGTAGATGCAGTTTCCATAGCAACAGGGGGCCTTTTCCCATCGTCCTGGTACGGATGAAATTGTGGATCCAGGTCGTCGGACGTCTCGCCGCCTTTCGGCTTCACTTCGTCTCCTAGCGCCGCCGCGTTGCCAAACATGCGCCCGTAGTCGTCACCGAACCACTTGGCCTCCGAGCCGAGCTCGTCGCCGGACTGCGCGGACATGCTCGTGTCGAGTGCGTGTGTGTGTCGTGTGTGCCGAGTTGGCTTGTATGTGTGAGGCAAACACGCAGCAATGCGGCGTCTGTCCACCGGAGTATTCGTGGACGCGTTCTGTGATGAGGCAGTGCGCGCGGTCTAGGAGCAACAGAAAGAAGCCGGCGTGATTCTTTTAGTTCACTGCTCGCTCGGGCGGTGACGTCATGGTGGCCAGGAGGCTCAAGGTAGCCGTGCTCAAATAGGAGCTGCCTTTCTTATGGTGTCGGGAAATTGCAAGTTTTCAGTATTGATAAAAAATATTAAAAACATCAAAAACAAAACAAAAATCCAATAAATAATTGTCAGTCTAGTGGGAAATTGTAGCCATGTGGCGCCCTCGCGTGGCGTAAAAGCCTATGACAGCTTTCAAAATGGCTCCCTAGCAACCAGACAGGAGGCCAAACATGACACAAGTGAGCAGGACGACCAAAGTTTCGTTGGGAAGGTACGCAACTGTCAAACGATTTCCTCCTGTACGAATTCCCTGTGTCGTCTTAAATTAATATCTACAATATTACGTTGGAGTGGGTTTCTGTTAGTTTTAATTCAAATATTTGGTAAGCTAACAAATGTGCTGATAGTTTTTCACAGTGACATTCCGTCATGGCAGCAAGGCAAGCTCTGCTGTACATTTGCAACCTAAATTTTAATATATGTTTTATAAAGTTGCTTTAATTTCCTCTCAGCAGCCTCTTCATTTTGGAGCGTTTCTCTCGGCTGCAATACTTCAAGTTCGACTTATTAGTTACGGGCCCCAGCAACTCTCCGCGACCCTGTTCAGGATAGGCGGTTTTGAAAATGGGATAGATGGGTTGTCATGGTATTAGAGCAATATTAATCCTGAACTGCTCCAGGTGTACGTGGTGTTATAGTATTGCGTTGTAGTATCGATGGTTTCTGTACATGTGACGTGATAGTGGTTGTATTTAGAAGTGGATTAAGTTGGGAAAGGCCCAGGTAGGAGCAAATGAAATGGAGTCAACCTACCCACTCGCGTTATATTCCCCGCGGTGGGATTCACTGCAACGTCACGCTACAGTTTCACCAACGCTGACGTCATGACACTTTCTTTTCCGTTGCCACGGGAACCGTGTGCACGTTTCACTGACGCGTTGAGGGCGAAAGCCAGCACGTATTGCGCGATCAATGCTTATGACGCCTGCGAGTATTCATACACTTGACCCAACCCGGCGCAGCGGGCCCACGGGAGGATATGTTCGCGAAGTATAAGCGCTTAGGCCTGTTTATTATTTGGGGATGACGTGATGTTAAATAGAGAAAGCCGGGAGCGACCATCTTATGATGTTTGACGCCAAACGGCTAAGTAATCTAACTGTCTTTTTTATATTCTATGTGTTAACACGCTTAAGTCAGTTGAATTTGCTTCTATTAATTATTGTTAGGTTTAATTGGATGGCCCCAGAAAGCTATCGTAAAATGATAAACTGTATGACATACATAAACAGTATTTGCATTATTACATGATAAGATGCATTCATTTAGTTGGGATGTGTGACGGGAAAGGTGTATTGGACTAAAATATTTGAAATGTGAAGTACCAAAGCACATATAACAGGAGTTATTTTTAGATAGGAATTGGTTTTTTTTTTGTTTTGCATTGTACTCACAAATGAAACCGCATTGTCAACTTTTATTATCAGATGCAGTCAACGCAGAAGGGTGCGGTACGACATTATGAAAAACCATACTGTGATGAGGAGGTGGTCAGAGAGCTGGTCAGTATAACAATACACTACTTCAAAATGTTGTTTGTTCCATTATAAATGTATCAGCAGCAATCTAATGTTCCCACTCAGAAGACGGTGTGGATGTGGGTTGTTCGTCTTCTCTATGTGCCCTGCGACTGACTGGCAATCAGTCTCCACAGTTTGCCAGCTCATAGGCTCCAACTCTCCTGCAACCCTTAACTGAATAAGGGGTACAAAAAATGGATACATGAATTACAATTTTGGTTCATCTATGTATACCAGGGAGAGGCAGGACAATTAAATGCTTTACCACTAAATGGGAAATGGTACAATACACATTTCTCCACCTGGTGTCATGGCTTCCTGCAAGTACATCAGCTCTCGTACTGGATTGTGCGAGTGCACCTCATTTTGTGACAGCATAAACATTAGCTTCATTCCCCAACAGTGCATGGCCAATGGACTTTCCTATGATGACCTAGCTGAAGAGGTATCCAATGTTACCTCCCTGGAGATCATCTTGAGTGGTTTTCCTCGGATGGTTGGCCTTTCCTTCTTCCCAATGCTCCGCCAGCTTCAAATACTGGGCCAGGACATAAAGCGCATCGAGGGACTGGAAAGCTGTCCCTTACTCCAAGAGCTTTGGGTCGTCGAGTGTAAGCTGACTGTGAGTTTCTTCTCTTTCCAACACGTGACATACGAATATTTGACTGCAAAAAGAAATGTTCCTCTGCTGTCATCCGGTGCGCATTCCCTCTAATTCTCATTGTTTCGAACAGAAAATATCTGGACTGCAGCATTGTCCCGATTTGAAGAAGCTCTACTTGTATGATAATAAAATAACTGAAATAAAGAATTTAAAATTCCTTGTCAACATTGAAGTCCTGTGGCTCAACAACAACTATATATCTCAAATACAGGTTTGCAGAACTTTTCACTTTAACGCAAGTCATCTTTTTGATCACAATTTTTCTCGATGAAATCACATTTATTTTCCCATCATCCTCAAAGGGCTTGAACGCTCTTCAGAACCTGCAAGAACTAAATCTTGCTAACAATAATATTCACAAGATTGGTAAGCTACTTCCTGTCTGTCGCAAAGTTGAAATATTCGGGAAATGAAATACATCACTTTTTTTTTTCTTGTACCATTTTTTTCAGGGGACAGCCTTGTTGACAATGTCAACCTTCACACACTCAATCTGTCCGGCAACAAGATAAGCTCCTTCAATGTGAGACAACTAAAGAGTTATTAAAATTCTTACTTTTAAAAAACATTCTTGTCGTCCACACGTGGGCTTGTTCTTTGCATCTTTTCTGCCATGAGTTAGGTGCATTTTGTTGAAAGGGATCCATTTTATTTCTTTGATTTTCTACATGTGTTTTATGTCAAGGACTTACTCCTCTTACATAGTCATCACAAGTTTTAATTCTTACACTGGTACTTTTCATCAGAGGAAGACAAACAAACGTGTTTTTGACGTAAGACTTGCATAGACTTATCTAAGGTGAAAACAGATACTCCTTTGGATCTTATCAAAAGTGTTGTGAAATCTTAAGGTTTTTATGTTTAGCCCAAAAGTATTCATCCACAAGCCAAATTTGGAGTTAAAGCAAGTTTTGTTTAAGACATGCCAGTTGTTTTGACAGCCATATTTGTCAATTTTGCTTTTGTCAGTTTACTCGTGTTTATGTCTTACAAAAATTGTCACGTTTTCCTCTTAGGAGCTCACCTGGCTAACCTGTCTGTCCCAACTGAGAGATCTAGCGCTGAGTGACTTCACGTCCACCCCAAACCCACTGTGTCTGCTGTGTAACTATGCTACACACGTGATGTTCCACTTGCCCTTGCTCTTGTTTCTTGACACCTACGACGTCTCCAGCACGCAAATCAATGAAGTAGCTGAGGTAGTGAGAAGCCCAATTCGAACAAATCTTGTCTCTCAACATAAATGACCAGTGATGTGCACTCAAGATTATTTTAATTTCATGCACCCCGCCACCTGCTGTCCACTGTCGTAACCGCTGTCCCTGAAAGGGTTCAATTACCAATGACTTGTTTTCTGAGTTTTAAGTCAATCGTTCTGTACTGCGTATTTTCATGCTTGTACTTCAAAGCCTCCAGGGTGACATGTGTTTTCTTTTAGTCCGCTGTAATGAAGAAGATGATGTTTTACAACATGCGCGTACGCATCCCTCGGAGGAATCTCAAAGAGACGTTGCTGCGCCTTCTCAAGAAGAAAAACGCCTCGTTGGAGTCACCGAAAGAAAGCATTCGGTCACTCAATTACACCTTAAAAAATGTCGGTACGCCTCCAGAAAGTGCTTCATGGATGTCATAAGAGTGAGGTTATTGACTTGCGGTCCTCGTGGTTACTCCTCAGCTTGAACGTTGGCTTTGTAAGAAGTCTTTCGACGATCACCCGAAGGAAGATTTAAGCACGAAAGGTGACAGCTGCGACCCCTCCGCAGAGCAAATACTGAGAAAGATTGAAGTACTACAGCAGAGACTGGCTATTTGGACCAGGAGACTGCATGAGTTAGTTTGTGTAGTCATATAATTGACAAGATGTCAACCTTTGGTACATTTTATCTTCCGACAGTGTGCCATGTTTTTAAAGTGGAAAAATTGTCATGCTTTTTCTTCAGCATTGAAAGCTGGCATCAACACAATGTGTCCCAAGCGACAGAAACGATGGAGGACTCTGTGCACTTTATGTCGACGGAACTCCAGAGTGTCGGAAATATTCGAATGGAGGAGGGCAGCTCCACGGACCCGTGGTACTGTACTTTTGTGTTGCACTATTGTTCGCACGTGCCCCGTTTTACCAAGCTCGTATTTTTATTTTTTTGCCTCGAGCAGGTTCACTTCCTGTTGTGACCTCCTGCTCTCTCGTTTTTCTCTCTCGGATTTCATGAGTCACGGCATCACTGGCATCAAGATCAACAGAGTTGTCCGTATCCACAATAGCGGGCTGAGGCTTCGCTTTAAGGATAAACTTCAATCCCTGCTGGCCAGGGAAGATTCGGTCACTTTGGCACAGTAAATCAACCAGCACTTGGATCAAAAGCAAACCTGTTTTTTTTTTTATTTTTTATAAATACACACATTAATGCAGAAATTTCACACAGGAATTATAAGCAGCAGCTTGAGCACTTGTTCTACGTCGGTGACTCGGACCAAAACCGTGAGGACGTGTTGAGCATCCTGGAGGAAGGCTTCAAATCAGCAAAAGAATATAAGGTGCCCTATATTTCACTTTTTTAATCACTAATTAAAAAAAAAATACAGCATGCCAAATTTCTGATGGTGTTTTCCGCTCAAAACAGGCCCTTGGAAAAGAAGCAGCGGTGCCTTTATCCAACAGTCTGATTGTGAGCG